TTTAAATTAATAATATTGTAAATAAAAAATAGTAACACAAACCGATATAATTTTATACAGCTCTTCAAATTTGTATATTTTTCATGGTGGAGGTCGATTATGATTTTTATTTGATTGAAATACCAATTAGAAATGTCACCATTTGTTTGCATGGAAGTACAAAACTATATCTATAGTAAGAAATTAACAATGAAAATACAACTCTTCATTAAGAATTGATAGTAAACATTTGATATAATCCATATTGATTCATAGAAACTATATTCTATATTCTAATTTACCACGAACACATTTAGGGTTTTGTTTTATCAACGTTTGACGACCAATTTTTGTGTGACAACTCTTGCTCCTGTTTTTGTGTGATCTTCATGCTTTTGAAGTCTTTGAGAGTTGTGGTAGCAATAGGAGAAAGTACTTTACTGGCCGGGCTTGCCGAAATAACATGTTCTTCAATATTTGATTTAATCGGGTGTTCTTTGATAGATTCTACAAAACACTTTCCACAAATTGTCTTGATACCTATAACATCATAGGTGCCACACTTCTTGTTGTTAGTACAAATTGGTGGAACCATGGTGTTTGATTCACTTTGATAGCTTCAAAGAAAAGTGAAAAACTATTTTAGAGAATAAGAAGATGTTTGAATACGAGAGTATTTGTTGTTGAATGATTGAATGCGTGGGTTTTAATTTATAAGGGAAAATAAATATAAGATTTGTTTCCTTTAAAAACAAAATCTTTTTTAATCTTATAAGATTTTTTTTTATAGGAATATTATAAGATTTGTTTTATGATATGTTATAATCAAACAAACCCTAATCTTTTAAAAGAGTAAAACTAACTATCTCCTAATAATTATGCCTCAAAGTCTAACCGTATTAATAATCATGTGATACATAGTTACTATCTAGATATGAAAAGAAAATAAAAAGTAAAAAAGGGAATATAAAATGTGGAAAAAAAATCAAAATAAACAAATGAATTTATAAAAAATAAAGGTTCAAAAATGAATTTAAAAGTTACTTGAAAAAACGAAATTATATAACAACAAAAAATATGATTAAACAAAAATGAAACATATTAAACTCTGTGTGAAAAAAAAAAATACCTGTACAAATATTACTAACAGTGTTTTGCATTTTCAGTTTTATCTTTGGATTTTTAGTTGTTGTGGAAAGAATATTGAGATAAATGCTTTATTTACCAAATTTTAATATGGAACCGATTAAAATGTGGATATTACTATTTTTAATAAATTTAAATAAAATATTATATTTGTTTATTTTTTAATAAAAATATTTTTAAACTATAAATGCTAAAAGTCCATCTTCAGATCTGAAATATTTCTAAGATCTATATAAAATTGATCATGAATTTAATTTACATTATTAAAATAACAATATTTTAAATTAATTAAAAATTATTATACTATATAAACTCCACCAAAAAAATTAAAAAAGATGAATAGAAGTATTTAAATTTAAAAAAAGAAAAATTACCATTTGTGAGCATGAATGTTGGCTAATTATGATTTTCTACTATAAGAAAAATTCATTTAAATATTTTACTCTTTCCTCTGTTCTTCCTTCGTGCCGAAGAATATGAGGCGGTTTTAACCACTTATATATAGAGAAATCGTCACACACCAATCTAAGAAATATTCTCACCATCACTCACATCATTATTTTTCTTACATTTTAATAACATGGATGTTGAAGTGTTAATCTTGCAAGTCCGCATCTTTCCACTGTATTACAAAGCACTCATTTTTGTTTCAGGCGACTTTACATCTTCATATCTATCATTTCTAGTTCCATAACAGAACATTGGCACTGTAAATGAGAATTTACTTTCAATTTTCACGAATTTCCACGATCAGATCATTCTTACTCCAAAGCCATTAATCAGCTACAATGATCTAGCTCGAAAGAAGACGATGGTTTTTAATCCAGTTGTTGAAATTATTGTGATTTCATCAACCTCAAAATCATCCTTTTACCTCTCGGTTTCTTCAATCGATTGTGAATCATTTAGCCATGGGAAAGTAATAAAAAACATCTGGCACAAGGCTCTTCGAGATTGCTGATGGAGAGCAGGAGATAGAAAGAAGTTGCACTCAACTAATATGGATAAAGCAAATGTTAAAAGAGTACAATGTCATACAAGATGTTATGACGTTATACTATGAAAATACGAGTGTTATCAACATCTCAAAGAACCTTGTACAACATAACTACCAACACATTGATATTATAAATCATTTCATCATAGACCTTGTGGAAGACAAAGTTATTTCTTGATTATGTTACAACTTAAAAACAAATTGATGATATCTTTGCAAAGGCCATAGGGTTATGTGTGATGGAATCCTTGTAGCAATTATTGCTGAGGTGGATGAAAATTAAATGGGTCAGATTCTTCTCCATTCAATCCACACTTTCCTAGAATCTTGTAGAGTATCTTGTCAAGATCAATAAGGAGTCAGAACTTCATATTCAAAATGTTAATTTTGTCATTTACGTTTTCTTTTCACGCTACTCCCGTACAACACAATGTTTATATTCGTCAAAATATCTCTCTCTCTTTCTCTCTCTCTCTCTCTCTCTCTCTCTCTCTATATATATATATATATATATATATATATATATATATATATATATATATATATATATATATATATATATATATATATATATATATATATATATATCTCAAACTGTTCATTTCCTTACTTAATTTTCTGAAAAAATGGTTGGCACTAGATAAGGAACCAATATGTCTGATTATGAAAAGAAAACGATTAAGAAAGTTATGAAAGTTAAGAAGGTGTCCAAAGGTTACGATGTGGTTGTCAATGCTCATAGATTTAGAATGAAAGGCGTTTTAATTGGTGGAACTATTGATGGTCCAACCACTACTATATAATACGTAAACAACAACGCCATAGTCACCACGGTTCTTCACTACACCGTGGTGACATCTCTAAAATAAGGAGCTGCCATATTATTATTTTTAATTAAAAATTATTTGTATATAACAACAGTTGAGAAGCAAACCGTGATAAAACCATCAAGCTTTCATGGGTTCGAACCTCAGTGCCATCATATATATTATTCCTTTAATATTTGTGAGCGTGTTTTCTTTTTTATTTATTTCTATATAAAAACTTAAAGGGATATGACTATGGTTGGTAAGTTCCACCATTGTGATATATTTATAATAAATAAATACTTATCAATACGGGTGTCAGAGAATCGTTGTGAAATAATTTACCCATATATAGCGAATTAACTCTCACTTATTGATAGTAGCATCGTTTCCCTCACAGTGAAATCCTAACACCCATTTTTCTCTTCTTATTCGCCATTAGCCGTGAATCTTGTGCTTCATACGTTAATGTATTCTTCTTCTTACATCTTATTTTTAGATAGTTCTCCATTATCTCATTTGTTGCATGTTGTTTTTTTAATTAATTGTTCTCATTTTTTCAGATTCGTCTTCACTACCTTAACAAAGACCATAATTTAGCTATGGTACATATTGTTTGTGTAGCTATAAAAAAAAGTACAAGAAGCATGAAGCTATAATGAAAACTTCATCCACCTTGTACTTTTTTTCATAGCTTCACAAACAAGATATTTTTCATACTCTGTTGACAATTAATTTAGGGTTTTTACATGTTGATAACTTTCATGGTTATTATAGGACTCAACAAGAACAACACATTTTAGTTAATGAAGAAACAACAGTGGCAACAAACTTCATCTAGTTTTAGATACAATGAGAAGAAATATAAGAAATATGAAATTGTTGTGTAAGCTTATTCCTCCTTGTATTTCTTTCTCATTGCTTTGCAAACTAGATGAACTTCAGAATTGATTCATGTTTCAATAAAAGGTGCGTCTTAGAAATTTTATAATATATTTGTTTTATTCCTCACAAATTTATAATATCTGGTTCTGTTGTATGAAGTTTTTAAGTTTATTATATTATATATAGATTGTTTGTTTCAATAACCCTCATACATTCATTTAAATTGACATAAGTACTTATAATCTACAAATTAAATTGTATTTGAAAACTAACTTATATCAATCATTGTTTCAGAATTGCATGCATCTCATCATTCATTTCATGTTCATTTACATATATATTATGGTATAATGGCCTAGCTCCTCAGATGCATCGTTGTCTTAGATTATAGTTAAATTTCATTAATTACAATTTATTAGATAGTCTGCCTCATCATCATCACTAATGATCGTAAAAATTACAATTATAAAAATTATGATGATAAGTGATGATGATGAGGCAGATTATACAATGTCTTGCTGTAATGGAAATTTAACTATAATCGAAGATAACGATGTATCGAAAGAGTTAGACCAATAAACCACAATATATATGTAAAAGAGCATGAAATGCACTATGCAACACATGCAAACAGAAAAAACAATGGTTTGTTTAAGTTTCTTTTCAAGAATAGCTTAATTTTCAGATTATAGACTTCTTCATCAATTTGGAAGCTTGTATTTCTTTAGTGAGGTGTATGGAAAACAAGAAATCTACATATTATATAATAAACTCCAAGTACTTTTCACAACAGTTATCTATTGTAACCGTGACCAAAGGTCATTTATGTTTTACATAATTTACTGCTGATGGGTTTCGAACCTAATACCTAAGTGTATATATCACAACATTTATAATTATAAACCATTGTGATAAGTGGTGTGCGTCCTGCCTTTCAATAATAGTTTCCAGACCGTGGTAGAAACAACCAACTTATAACCACATCCTACTTAACAACGGTATGACCCGTGTGATGGTACCCCTTTCCCAACCGATATTAAATGGGTTTTCCATAGTAGTGAACCAGAGGTCTTTCCCCTATCAAACTAAAAAAGGAGTTCAAGAAGAAGAAATTTAAGATGTTGAGTGATCAAATTCATTCCAAGATGGTTAATCTAATTGGAAAAGATTCGAAAATTTCCTATAAAATGAAGGAACCCAAAAACACTAAAGAGTTCACTCGCCCTCAAGCAAAAGTAACAGGCCAAACATCAGATGTTCCTTTAAATGCCAATCATCTTAAAATGATTTTCCTAATAAAGATGAAGGTAAGTCCTCTAAATCCACTTAACCCTCAAATTTTTCTACCCCTAAGGATGTTTATGTAGTCACGAAACCTAGTGTTGAAACCTACAAAATTGTTACATGAGAATCTAATAACATAACTCAGACTATAGAAACCCTCAATGCGTGTGACAATACACCTAGTGATAACAACTTTGACAAACTCTTCAGTGTAGATACTATTCCAACTAAACTCCTGAATGAAACTATTGCTGAAGTTGACCCGGATGTCATTTGTAAGAATGTTGTGTGTGATATCAAAAATAACATGTCTGAGGTTGTGATTGAAGAAGGAGATTCTAGTGAGGAGAAGATTGAAGCCAGTCAGGATGATGGAAAAGATAAGGTTGTTAGCAACAATAAGGATGAAATTCCTCAAACTCAAACAAATTTTCCTGAAGACAATGTTGATGAGAACGTGCCTAAAAATGGTACTGAGGATGCTGAAGAAAGAGATGAAGGCGAGGAAAAAGACAACCAAGTTGCTTATGAGGTTGAAGGAAGGAAGGAAGATACTGATAAATTTGTGAATAAAAATACCAGTAACATTGTGGGTGTCATTAAGCAATATGATGTAATAAATAATTAGGATGTCCTTAGTAATGTTAATAACAATTCTGAAAACATTTTGGAGAATGATGCTCCTAATATTTAGAAAGATCATAATGATGTGGAGAAGGATGTCATTGACACCCCTAAAGGTCCTGTTAAATTTGAATAATATGTAAGTGATGAATTGAAAAATAATGAGAGTTTAGATGTCAATGACAATTTCATTGACGATGTTGGAGATGTTGTTCATATTGTTGTTGAAGTTGAAACCTCTAAAATGACTCATAAAAGGTCCAAGAGGTCAGCTGAGAAGAAAAAGTTTGTTTTGAATCCCAAAAAATCTACCACCTCCAAGAAGTCAACTATCTCAAGTAAAAAGATAATAAGTTCAAATAAAAAGACAAAAGGGTTGAAGAAAAAGAAATCCACTGAAAAGGGGAATAAGACTACAATAAAGAAAAATGATAATTTAGAGAAGAAAAGTGTTGTATTGAAAAGAAAGAAATTTCCTGAAAAGGAAGTTGAAGAAGTGTTGCCGACATGTCACATGCCTGATGAAATTATGGTACCTACTGTTAAAAGAATTAAGATATTAGTAGGAAGAAAGAAGCTACCACAAAATGTTCATGTTGTTCCCTAGAGAATGTCTCATTCCATTCCGAGGAGAGTGTTCGAAAGTGTAAGTATGCCTTCCATATACGCATCACCACTGAAAGAGAGTTATCCGAAGAAGCCAAAAAGTGTTTTGAAAAATGTTTTTATTGAATGACGCATAGGTCCTGAAGAGTGTGGTCAATGTTGGTCCTTTTTATCCAAGTTTGGATTAAAAAATTCATTTTCAACCTTCCTAAAGGTTTTAATGGTGTAGGAAGTCGTGAGTACAGAAGGTCAATGTTCATGGAAATTAATTCGGTTTTTCTCCCTCCATCATCAATGAATACCTAGGAAGAGGAAAAAGTATCTATTTTGATTGTGTTCCTTCGATAAATATAATTCCTCTAGAGATTACTAATAACATCCATGATGACTAATCATCCAAAGGTTTGCTGAATGCCTCTAACTTAAGCGACAAATATGTCATTCTGTACAAGATCATTATTTCCAACTGGGCACTTCCAATCATGATTCAGGTATTACCCCTAACCTTTCTAGTTTTCTTTATCAAATAATAAATAGGGTTTAACTTGACTTTTGAGACTATGTGTTTGAGAAAGTGGTAAAACATGTCGATCATATGCTATAAATCTTCCAATTGGTTTTCCTTCATTGATATCTATTATTTTAAGTAAACAAAAGCATGATATTGTGACTACTAAAGTTGAAATTTGTATTCCTTCTAGTCTATTCAATTTTAGTTACAAGTTATTTGTCGGGAAACATGTCTCAGACATTTTTCTTCCCAACATTCCCAAATTTTGATGAATCTGATATGATTGTTGGTGATAATGTTCCTAAAGTCCCACTCATGTTTGGGTATGTTAGAAGCCATCTTCTTAATGTTATTATGCATGAATCTAAGTCCTTACAGGAAATAATTACTACTTCCACCACCATAAAAGGCGAGGTTGAGGGATTATTCAAATGATGAATCCAAAGGCTACTAGTGCTTCTAGTTCTCAAGATGCGGTGTAAGATGCCGAGTAAGATGTTGGGAGATTATATGTGGAAGAAGACCAGGCAAGTGGAGATGGTGAAGAAGAGGTTGAGTATGAGGCCAATTCCAGTGGCGACATTTCTAACTGCTGATAGTGATTTTCTATTTGTTTCTAAAGAATCTTAGTTTTATTTTATCCTTTTGATAACCTGTTCTTGTAAGCCATATATATGGCCAAATAATCATTATATTCGTTTTGCCCTTGTGTAAGTATGATTTTAGGATGTTGCTTTTGTCCATACATGGGTTGGATTTCTATGATCTCTGATGATGCCTTTTTCCCCTTCAATACTATAAAAAGCACATTTTATCTCAGGTGGAAAATGGATTTTACCTCGGTTGTAAATGCGAGTTAATGAAGGGCGTCATTAAAAGTGAGTCATTTTACCTCTTGGTTTTAGTTCCACCAAAGAGTAATGTTTAAAGTTCACGGGTAAAACACGATTGATTTTATTATATCTAATATAGATTGCTTATTTCAGTAAGCTCAAACTGAACATATAACTTCTCAAATTGATTAGGAAAATAATTATATGAAATAGTATGTTATGTTTGAAGAATAACTTATAGTAATCAATTATTTTTGAGCATCTTGTAGCTCATCCTTCATCTCATGTTATTTAATGGTTAAAATCTCTTCAATATTTCAAGTTATTTATTAAAAACTTCCCTTACTACTAATTCATTATTGAAGGCATAAAATTTAATTTTTTTCAAAATGAACATAGTATGGAAGAAAGTTGAATGAAAACTATTAGAGATATTTTAGCCATTGAAGAACATGAGATGAATGATGAGTTGCAAAATGCAAGAAAAATATTAATTAATGTAAGATATGTTTCATATACAACATAACTTTTCATATTATTATTTTCGAAATCAATTTAATAAGTTATATGTTGAAAGAGGAGTTAGTGAAATAAACAAGCAACATTAGATATAATAAACTCAACTGTATTTTTCTGTACTACAATGTCCTATTGAAATTTTGGACAAAACAAGATGAGAGCTGTATAATGAATCACAATAATATAATCTCACTATCAATATCAAACTTAAACTCAATACCAACAAATAAACTACAACATATATGGTTTTAGATATCTCGACCAAACTACGATAACATCAACAATAAACCTATAACATCAATCTCTCAACAAAACTACAACAACAACAATCCCAGTTTAAACTACAACAACAACAATATTAAACCTCTAGGGTTTTGGATCTCAACAACAGCAACAACAAACAACAATAACATTAATGTAACATGAGAAGTGATATTTGACGTACCAGATCTGTGAAGAAGAAGTGAAAGAAATGATTTGGGTCTTTCATTCTGGTAAGCATCGAATGAGAGCCCCAAGCACATATCATCTTTGTATTGAGGATAACATGTGTTTAGGGCTCTTCGTTAGGGTTCTGTATGTGTTGTTTTTTAGCAAAATGAAATAGAATGCTACATGTTAAGATATATATATATATATATATATATATATATATATATATATATATATATATATATATATATATATATATATATATATATATATATATATATATATATATATATATATATATATATATATATATATATATATATATATATATATATATATATATATATATATATCAGAAAAATGATTTCACCTCGGTTGAAAAACATACCCGAGGTGAAAAATGATTTATTTTTGGATTAAAAATAAAACATGCAAGAAGGCATCGCTTTTAATGAAATAAAAATATAAACTGAAGCAACTGGGATTTGAAGCATGTACCCTGAATTAGTTTACCTCTCGATTTTCAATTAAAACTGAGAGAATAGATTGCATATTTTTAAAAGAAAAAAAGACATGACACTTTTAGGAATTATTCCTTATTTTTCGATAGGTGAGGTGAAATCGTTGTCATAAAATGTATTTTTTTTCTAGTAGTGCTTGGTGGGCCAGATATTTAGCTTCTTTTTTTTTATGCCCTTAAGGGCCTGACAAGTTTCCTCCCTTTATCCCTTTAGGGAAAATAAGTAGAGTGGGCACATTCCTTTTACTATGTATGGTATTGTGCTTAACATCATATATGTGTAATCTAGTAATGTTACTTTTGAAGCAGATATCTATTTAGAAGATTGTTTGTTAGGATGTTCATAACAACTTGCATGTTTTTAATTTGCCTAAAAATCGGCTAAAGGGTAAATTTGTTATTACATATGATTGACAATATTTTGTAGGCAACATATTAAATAGTATGTTTTGTCAATATGTGAGGCAGTCTATCTCAAAGTCTTTCATGGAGAATTTTTGAAAGAAACGTGTTCAGTTAGATGTTCTGACATTATACGGGGCATTCAATCTCAATCTATTTACTTTGTATCTAATTTTGAATAAAGTGTATCTCGTGCTTTCAAGATTTATTTTCTTTTCTGTGCAATCAAAGATTTGATTGTAAAGCGCATTTTCGTTTAGAAAAGATTTATCTTGAATCCGTTTTAGATAAATTGTATTTTTATTCATAATAGATGCAAATTTAATTGGATTTGTTACAATCAAGATTCAAAATCACCTTTATAAATATTGATATTTTGTGTGCTTTTTGGTTTTCAGCCGCTTACACGCCAAAATTATATTGAGCCTTTTATGTTGGACAATTGTTCTATTTTAAAAGACATTATCCATTGTGAAGATCCAAACCTTGTATTGTGAATCTTGAAATTTTTATTTGTTAATGAGTCTTTGTAGTTTCTGTTGTAATACTTTATTCCTAGGTTATCTTTTTAAGTCAGGAGAACATAATATTTATGTTGTAATTGTGATTCATCACTTCATATACTTTTGTTATTATACAAACACTTTGGTGAGTGTTTGAGTGAAAGTGAGAGGAGTCTCAAATTCAAGGGAGGCGGGATCAAAGTTCAAAGGTAAGATTAGGCAAAAGGCATTGGATTGTAAGATTTCAGATGAGACTGTTGTGTACTATTAACTATTAAGAGTGATTTTTCTTTCATTAAGATGATGTCTCCTATGAAGTAGGAGACATTGCAAATAACTGAGTTAACAATTCTTGAGTTATTTATTTTAGGGTTAAATATGTTTAAAGTCCCACTAAAGTTAGGCATTTTCACTTTTAGTCCCTATAAAAAATTTCGTTACAGAATCATGTTCCAAAAGTTAGGAATCTTAACTTTTGATCCCTCTTGCAACTTAATGATGGTTTTTACAACTTAGCGACTGAATTAACGGTGATTTTTAGCGATAATTTACTTCTTAGATATTGAATTAGTGACGATTTTAGCAGAAGAGACCAAAAGTTAAAATTCTTAACTTTAAAGGGACAATTCTTTAACGAAATTTTTAAAGGGACGAAAAGTGAATATGTTTAATTTAGAGGAATTTTAAGAATATTTAATCCTTTATTTTAAGAATTTACTTTATGTGCTTCAGAAATCTTTTTGTCATACACATTGTTCCAACATTGTATTTGACATCTTGTCATCATAACTTCAACATGCAAAAAGAATTTGCTAGAAACTATGATGCCTCTAGTTTTAGAACAAGATTTGGTTCTGCAATACAATCTTTAGTTTTTATGATAACAATGCATAATTTTATATGTAATAATTTTGTACTCTAAATATTTTCTTTAGTGTGTAGATATAGAATATCACCCCATATTCCACACAGATGCCCTTATCCGTCCAGTAGACCGAAGGATCCAGCATCCCACATTCCACACAGACTGGGGGATCCCGCACCCTACATCCCACACATATTCCTGTACGTGAGGATAATCATACGCAACCGGATGATGATGATGATATGAGGATGATGATGATGTGGATGGGGATGATGATATGTTAGATGGAAATGATCTTCGAGAGAATGATGATCCGAATGAGATACATGTCAATGTCATTGACGAAAGATTTTGGATTTGGCCCGAAGGAAGCTCGTAAGTTTCTTATTTATAAATTTTTATTTAAGTATACATTT